ATTTATCCTTAAAAAAATTCCTTCGCTATGTCAAAAAAAAAATTCGTTATAACTGTAATTCGTTACAATAAGGGTCAATTTATATATTGTATTTAAAAAATTTTCTTCATATAATGTTATACATCATTTAACTAGTATAATTCAGTATAACAAGATTTTTTTAATATAGAATAATCTGTATCACACTGAAGATTCGTTGTATTGTGAAATTCGTTATATCAAAATTTGTTGTATCAAGAGTTGACTGTATATGATTTTCTAGTGATCGTTATCATCCTTTTAATTATCATTATCTATGTTTTCTTTTGTGTAATAATAATTTTTAAAATTTATTAAGATATTTTTTAAAATATAATTTAATATAATTAATTCTATTAAATCAACTGATTATTCTATCAGATTTTCATCATTACTAATAGAATAATTAAATAAGAAATATGAATATAAGATTTTTTAAATAAGAATAAATATTTTAAATTAATTTTATTTAAATTAAAAGTAATAATGAAAAGCTATCAATTAAAAATTTAATATAAATTGTATAATTTATTTTTTTGAATATTAAGAAATATTTTGGATTTTTTTTAATAATAGTAAAAATATACCTAGTTTTTTTAACAAAATTATAAGATTAATCATAAATAAAATTGTAAGATATTATTTCAAAGGAAATAATAGAAATAGGTGCTTATCTAAATCTATTTTAAATTTAATAAAACATCTAAGTTTTGTACTAAGGTTATGACTATTTTTATAAATTTTACCTTTTTATAAAGGTATAACCTTGTTTGTAACTCTGCCAAACTGAATTTAGAATTTCCAGAACCCCGCCCCCATTTCACCTATGTAACACATGCTTGCGGTATCACTATTACTTTATAAGTAAATTCGATGATACATTATTGAATGAAAAATAATTAATATCATCGAAACACCAGTTCCTGAATTCATGTACAAAATTAAAAATAGAACTTTTTTTATAAAAAAAGATAGCCAAGAAAAGGTTCAAAGGAATATAATGAAATTTGATTGTTGTGCAAATTTACGGAGAAAAAATATTTTTTTTTTGGTTGTATGCAGTCTTGGTGTTTCAAATTATTATCTAATATAATTAAACAAAGCATATAGGGTTTGAAATATTAAAAATCCTTTTTTCAATTTCTTTCCTACTTCACAATAATTTTCACAATGCGGTTCCTTTCCATCCTTCACCAATCTTTAACAATAACCGCTCTGGGAGCGTCATTATATTTATATTATTATACAGCTTTTTGCGGATGGAAATGGAAAGGTACGCATAAGGTTCAAAATGAGAAATTTTAACAAATTTTTTATTATGATAAAAAGTTAACGACTTCTTATTGTTGTTATAGACGCTGAAGCAAAGATATTGTTCTTAGCCGACCCACAAATCGAAGGTGATGCGAAAATACTCAGACAAGGAAAAAGAGGTACGAACCAAAGAAAGTGAATTGACTTTTTTCTTCTAGAAAAGGAGTTTAACAATTAAATTAATTTTCCTTTTTTTAGGTGAAATTGACTTATTGGCCAATGACATTTATCTTCGACATGTATATACATCTTTCGTATCACCTTATTCCTTATTTACTTATAAACCCACACATACCATTGTCCTTGGTGATTTGTTCTCTAGTCAATGGATTAGAGACAGTGAATTTAATAAACGTGTAGAAAGATATAAATGGATATTTGGTGATCCAAACGAAGTGAGTATATTAATTATTTTAATTTTAATTTTTTCACATTATAGTATTTCTTTTCTAAAATTTTTCGTATAATCAATTTCATAGGAATACAATCATAAATTCATTAATTTAACAGGAAATCATGATATAGGATATAATTGGGATATTAATCAATATAGAGTGAATAGATGGAAAAGAAAATTTGGACATATGAATTTCAAGGATTGGATTCCTTCTTCATTTGAGAAAAAAAAGCATAGAATGTCTGTAATAAATTCCATGAATGTAGATGGACCTGCATTGGATGAAAACTTACGTTCTGAAACATGGTCTTTATTAAATGATTTAACAAATGAAAGAGAACAAGATAATCATCAAAACCCTTTAATTTTCCTTACACATATACCTTTATATAAAAAAGAAGGAATCTGTGTAGATGGACCAATGATAAAATATGATCAAACCGGAAAATTTATAAAAGAACAAAATCATCTTACACTAAACTCATCAGAATTTATACTAACTAAATTAAGACCTAAATTTATTTTTGCGGGACATGATCATGAAGGATGTGATGTAACTCATATAGTAAGAATCAATAAAAATGAAGAATATTCAATAAATCATTATAGGACTCGAGATTTTGAAAAAGAAAAGTATCAAATAATTTCAAAGGATGATTATAATGAGGATGGTAAATTAAAAGAGAATGTTTGGATCGTAAGAGAGGTTACTGTAAGGTCCATGATGGGTGCATATGGCGGTAATGCTGGATTATTTGAAATCAATCGATTAACAAGTGAAGATGGAACTGAAGGTATGTAAAAGAAACAGAACATTTATATCTGTTTTTTTTCTTCTCCCCCATGCAAATTAAATGTAACTGATTAACTTTTTTTGCTGGATTCAATAGAATTTGAATATAATTATTCTTCATGTCCTTTTGTAATAAATCATGTACCATGGATTGTAGTTATAACTGATATAGTAGTTATATTCGGATGGACTATCCGATGTATCTTGTCGAGTCTTACAGCACTTCCAAATCGCCTTAAAAATCTTTTATTATTCCAAGAAAAACAGAAAAAGAAAATGGTCAGAAGGAATAGTTATAGATATAAAAGTAATAATATCTTAATTAAAAATTAGCATTCTTTTATTTTATATTCTAATATTGTGTATAGTATTTAAAAGGTTATATATATATATTTTATGAGTTTCGGTATTTCATTTTTTTTTGGTAGTAATTTAATTTGCACTTTAATACTTTATTTATCTTTATACTGTAGAATCACGTTGCTTTATTTTTTTTTTTCCTTATATTTATTTATTTTTAAAATTGTTTTTACTCGACTTTATTATAATATTTCTAATTAAAATTTTTTAAATCTTTTAGAATAAATAACTTTTTAATCATTAAATAGGCCATTCATTCACAAATAATTTAAACGAAAATTTTTACATCCTAATTAATCTTCTTACTGTCAGAAGTCGAAGCAACTTTTAATTCTTCATCTTTCTTTTTTCTGTAAGCTTGATATTTTAGGTCAGTACCCATTAAATGATCCCACCATCTAAATGATGTAGAGAAACAATTTACAAAAGCCATATGATGATAATCATGGTGCTCCGCTCCTGCCCAAAATGGTAAGAAATGTCTTAAGGACCAAGGAAAATCATAACCTGAATGGGCATCAATAGTTTGAAATAATCTTAAGCTAATCCAAATAAAAACAGTGACGAGATGTAAGTTTTGTGTGATTGCTACATATGCCAAAGGACCTCCAATCGTACCAGTACCCAAGATAAGTACCTCAATTGGATGTGCATATTCTGCCGCCTATGATATGAAAGAAGGTAGGGGTTACTTTTTTGTTTATCCATAAAATATAATCTCATGTTTCTCCCAATACTTACTAAACCAAATGGTGCGGAATATTCATGATGTTGTTTATGAATATATTTATAGAATGGTCCATAGTGTAACAATCTGTGAAACCAATAATGAAAAGTATCTTCAAACACGAAAAAAATTGCTACTTGATAACACATAGTTTGCCAATGTGGAAATGGTACTTTGGCAATATCCATTCCAAAAAATGTGGCTACGGAATGGAATGAAAATATCAAAGGTAATTCTATTAGAAAATGAGCCTTTAATACTGATTTCAAGCAAACCCATTGTTCTTCGACTGTATTAACCTTGTTCTATTCTTGCAAAAAGTTTTTTAGTTACTGATTTTTTTCTCTTTTGAACAATAAAGTTAACGTTTACATACCGGCTGTAGCTTGTATTTAGCGAAACTTGGTATGAAGTCAGCAATCATAAATGGAATGCAACGTCCAAAATAAACAATTTCGTGCATTAAAAATGCAATTATCGCTGTTGCTATAACCTCACTTTCAAATGAGTTGAAATAATTCTTCCATGCGTTTTCTGCAATATTAAGTTCATCATGACTCGTAAAGAACGAGTCTCCTAAAGTATTATTCTCTGACCTATTATCGAGTTTCGTTAGCACAATTCAAATTTATTTTGCAAGAAAATTTACTAAAATAAAAATAATGCACCAACATTATTCTGTTGCAAAAAAAAGATTGAAAGGAAAAAAGATTTGTCCGAGAATCTTAAATTTAAATTTCGGTAACACTAAAATTAATTCGATTTATCACAAGCATGATGATGTTAACGCGATTAGGATAAATTTATTATTGCGTACATCCTATAATTATGGAGATAGGAGATTGATAGATAACTTTGATAATAAACCTAATAAACTAACTAATAAACTAAATAAAAAGCAATTCTTGTTATCTTGAAAGCAACAATGTAATAAATTATAAATATAATATAATAATTTTAAAACAAATTAACATTGAAAAGAAAAAAGTTCGGTATAAAAATATTTCGCTTTGTAAACCTAAATCACGTCGTAAAAAAAACATTGTAAAACAATAAAAGCATTACAAAATCTTCGCGAATTTACTAATTTGAATTATTTATACACCCATAATATCGGTATTTTATAATTATATTAATTATATTAAGATACTAGAGTATATAGAATATTACAAAATTGAAAAAAATTATCTAATGTAATTTGCTTTGAATCATTAATGTGAAACTTCAATACTTGATGTCTTAATTTCTGTAATACGCTTAATTCACTTGGATTAATAGAAACATTTGATAAAATACAACAAGTTTCTTTTTTTTTGAAATTACTGCCAAAGGCTCATCATTTGGATCTTCAGGTTCATCATTATTTGGTTTTACTACCAAAGTTATAATTTCATCGATTTCTTCCATATCATCCTATAAAATATGTTTCCAACAATTATTTTTTGTTGCATACAAATTTTCTAAAACTATTGTTAAAATTAATAGTATTGTTAATATTTAAAGAGATCGTTTCTTTGTTCAATTCTTGTGCAATTTAATATGCTTCAACCCATTTTGACAAGTAATTTTCAATACTGTACCTTGTAATTAAAAAATTTTATAATATCGTCATTTCATAGAGGAAAAGAAAAAGGTGAAAGGTAAATGTTTATGGAATACAATGAGTGGGTAAATTTATAATCCAAATTGCCAATTAATGATAAGTAAAATAAAATAATATTACAAACTTTAAAAGAATTAAATAATTTCACAAATTTACAAATGAACTGTTGATAAAAAGTGTAAAATCACATTTGTTAAATATTATCTTTGTCTGTAATGTATACAGCATTATCAACTAATAAAAGAATTTTGTGATTTTGTAATTAACATTTGCACATTCAATTTTTTAAGATATTTATTTCATATAGAAATTGCATCTATACAGTTGAATTCCAGTAATAGTTAACTAGCAACTCATGGATTCTGATATGTGTAAATAAAAGTAACTTTGATTTTACATTTTAGTTGCATTGCATATAAAAAGAATAGTAATCCTAATTAGGATTTTTTTTCAGAAAGTAGTTTACTTGTTAATGTCTTTGATGCTTCAAGATTCCAATATAAGTCTAAAATAAATATATAAAAAAATATTAAATATACTGTATATAATTTATATATTTTTTAAAAGAAAATAAAATTTATTTGTTACATCATAATTAAAAGCATCATTCAAATAAATCCTTTTTTTTTCATTATTACCTCATCTTATTTAATATATTCTCTTATATAATTTCATTTTTTAAAATTAGAAATCTATCAATTAGAATTTAAAAAATTATAAATTTTTTTTTTGGCAAATAATTCTATTTTTTTACATAAAATATCATATTAATAGTGTGAACAAGTAAATGTGACGCAGCTTATGTAATACAAAAGATTGACTAATTTAACATAAATGATATATATTATATAATAGACATATGTGACATAACTGATATATTAAACATAGTTGACATATTAGACATAACTAATATATTAGACATAGTTGATATAGTAAATATGTTAGTTATATTTCTCTATGTAAATTATTTTATATAAATATATAGCTTTTTAGTTTATATAAAAAGTAGACAGACAGAGACTCAACAAGTTAGTTTTTTAGTAGTTTTAGAGATAACTGGCCTATCACGTTACATTCTAGTTTTTAGTATTTTGTCTCTTTTCTTTTCTTTTTTATTTCCTTTATTTCTTTTGTTTTCTTTATTTCTATTATTTTACCTGTGAATAAATACATTATTTTAAAATATAACTTACTGGCAATCCGTTGAATTTCTACTTATCATAATAGTATAAACACTTTTGGTAATTAGTCTGAAATAAAATTTGTAAATCATTGAAAGTTTACTGCTCAGTTAAAAAGAATAAACCACTTGAACACCTCATCTAACAATTGTAGTTTGCAAGAATTATACGTTAACAATAGTAAGTTTGCATTAGTGTATTTGTAATCTATAATATTATAACCTATTTTACTTATGAAAATTATACAGGTCTTTCCTTTTATTTTTAATTTCTTTCAAGTTTATATCAATGAGTAATTATTTTTTTAAGATATTAGAAATAATATTTTATTTAATACTATTTAATAATAAGATTTCTTAAATAGATTATGATTTTTTAAAAATCTAAATATAATTGATACTTGTGATTTTATTAAAATAATACTTTTTTTTTAGTTAAAGTAATTGTTGAATAGCTTTTCTTTTATCTGATATTAATAAAAGAAGAAAATCATACAATTGATCTAATCTTAAATAATTAATATATTGGTATATAAATTAGATTTTCTAACATTTTATTATATAGAAAATTAATATTAAATGTTATATTGTAAAATAATATTAAAATAATATAATAAGATTCTTTTATTAATAGAAAAATAGTAGAGAAAAAATATATTAGTATAAGCAAATATTATTATATATTATATCGATATATAGAGATTTGATTATAATTTATTGGTAAATTTTTTATTAAATTTATGATACAAGTAAAATAATTATGTTATAATTTTAATTTATAATATACTAATACTTTATTTTATTATTAAAAAAAAAATAATATTTTTATAAATGAATTTATGACTAATTTTATAAATAATAAATATAGGTATAAAATAAATAAATCAGAATATCTAGTTACAATTGTTGAAAAAGAATAACAATTAATTATATTAAAAAGTAATATTTTTAAAGTTATAGATTATAATTTTATAAAATATAATATAATATCAAATGTAACAATGTTATATAATATTCTTAATATAATTTTAAAATTATTTTATTATAAATAAATATATATTGGTTTAAAAAATCCTATATTCTAACTATTAGATTTATTATTCCATATGATAAAATTTTGTAAAAAATTAAATAATATAAATAAAAATAAGGCTTAATAATTCTTTATATTAATAGAGAATCTGATTATTGAGTTACTTATAAGAGATATAAAAAATAGAAAAGAAGTTAAGTAATATGAATAGCAAAATTTCTGCTATTATAGATTATTTCATTTCCTTTATATAATATGTATAAAAGTTGTATAAGCTAAATAAATTTCTAAAGAAATAAACTGATAAATTACAAATTATTAACATATTTAAACATTAAAAACTTAAGCAGAAGGTTATTAGAAATAAAAAAACTACTATTAAATCTTCTTTTAAATACGTTTAAATATTAAAAATGAAATAAACAAAAATATTTTTATACAAAACATCTGTAATAAATTAGCTGAATAAGGTCTTCGCTTACACATTTCTTATTTCAATCTATTAATTTCTGAATAAATAAAGAAAAACGTTTATTTTAAGCTTATATTTATAAAAATTAAACAATAGAGAATTTTAAAAGGTAGTTTTAGTCAGATAAATTTATCTACACAAAATTCAATCTCAGATTTTAAGCAGATATAACATGAATTTTTTGAAGAATTTTACAAAGATTATATTATAACTATGGTCTAAAATGTTTTGATTACATATTTTGAAAGTATTTTTTTAGGTTAATATAAGTTCTTTAGTCCTATTAATTAATTATATAACTAAAAATATGCATTGTGAAGTTTTATCTAATTATGTAATTTTTACGGTCAAAGCTAATGTAAAAAAATCAAAAAAGTTATTTTTTTAAGAGAATAATGCACTCATTTACACTGCTAAAATCACTTGTTCCTTTTTTGAATCTTCAAATATTAAAATGTTTTTATTGTTAGCTTAAAACTCTGATATCAATTTGATAGAAATTCATTGATTGTATATTAAGATTAGAATTTATAAATAGAATTTACAACCTTTAAGTATTATACAATTAGAGTAATAAGTTTGAAAAAATAGGATATGATACCTATAAATTACTACTGTAATTTAATTAAGTCTATATTATATCAGATTTAACTATTATTGTAGCAAATGAAAGTCCAATAAAATATTGATCTAGATTTTATAAAAATAAAAAAATTTAATGTATAAAGTTAGTTTTTTTGAAATAAAGAATTAATAATAGTTAATACTTTTATACTTACCTGTATATTTGTATTTAATTAACATTAATAGTATCTTTTTAAAGTTAGATTTAAATTTGTTAATTATTATTAAAATTCTATTAGATTATTTTTTAAAAATTTAGTTAAATGTATAATGTTAATATTAAATCTTGATATATAAAATATTAATTTAATACATAATGAAATGAGTAATCGTTTAAAAAATCTAATAAAAAATATAATTTTATAGAAGAAATTTATATATATTTAAATAAGAAATTACAATTAAAAAATGAGTTAATAAATAATTTAAAAGTACTAATTGAATTGATAGAAGATATTTTAAGTAATTACCATTAAAAGAAGAATTATTTTTAATTCAAAATTAGTAACAGAAGAAGTAATTAAAAATTTATAGAAAATTTTATTAGAAATTAAAGATTCATTAAATATGAATAATAAAACAAAGAAGGATATTAAAGATAAAACAAATATATACTTTATTTAATACTATCTAATAATTACTAAATAATAATTGATATATTTAGATTAATTATAAAAATTTTATAATTATTGTTACCAATCATAACATTATTTTTTTCAAATAAAAAAATATAAAATAATGGATTATGATATTTATAAGCTA